AGACTTATGACTTTTACTTTTTTTTTTCTGAGTAAATGGCGGCACGATAGCACACCGTACCTTTCATGGGATTTATATTAAAATTATTGGTTAGTTTTTGTTTCTTCACCATAGACATAAGATATATATTTTGCGGAATGAAGTATTGGGAGGAAATGAGACATAATTGATCATTGAGAGAAAAATTGGAGTCAAAATGACTAAGGATGAATAACAACAAAATTTGAAGCCAGCAACCCGAGGAGACAGCGCCATAGCGCTGCCTCAGAGCGTCGCGACGCTCCAAAGCTTTAATTTCACGTTTTTTAATAGTATAGTGTCATGACCCAGTGTATAGCGCTACGGCGCTGCCGCGATAGATTTTTAGAGAGGTTTTTTACCAATTTAGCCTTTTGGCCAATTTGGAGGGCAAGGAGACCATTGGAGAGCTTAGAAAAGAGATTTTCAAGGCTCGGGATCGTGGAGGTCGCTTCGGGGACGGACGATTGACACGACGAACTTAATTTCTTCTCCTTTCCCTTGATTCTTCTAGTTTTGTTATCAACTTCTCATTGTGATTTTATTGTTTTACATTGAATTTGAGAAGCTAAACCTCTTATCTTAAGGATTGATGGAGTCATTCGACTTTATGGATTGATTGTTTAGTTCTCTTGATTGAATGTTTATCAATGTTTTATTTATGCTTCTCTATGCTTAATGTCTTTAATCTACTAGCCATAGATTGATTGATTTTAGACTTGAAATCTTACGTTCGGAAAGGGTGGTTTAGAGTTAAAACTGGGATGCGGTTGTTAGAAGACTTGTTCAATAAAGCTTTTACTTGTTATAGAAATTAGATAGAGATATTGGTTTATTAATTGGTAAGGAGAATTAGCTTACACTTGCGAGAGCCAGTTGAGATTTGAGAGTTCTTGGCCTATAGAATTAATAATTCGTTCAATCTTGAGTAATTGATTAATTGATTCATAGATTCAATAAGTGAAATCGATTATCTAGGACATTTCTCCCCATTGTTTTTATCTTTATTTTAGTGTAGGTTTATTTTCTTTGATTCTATTCTTTCATTTAGATTTGATTATTTAAATAAAATTGAATGATTATATATGTGGTACTGAGCTAGAAATCCAATCTAGAGGACGATATTGATATTTACTTACCACCTATATTAAAACTTGACTCGTACACTTGCAGTAAGCAATTTCTGCTACACTACATCACAAAAAAAGCAAGAATCAGATTTGAGCGAGAATCCGAGAACATCAAAGTTGAACGAGAACAAGAGCGAGAACCAGCGATATCGATGGATTTATATTTTACACGTATTTTATAGTTTTTAAAAATTAAATAATTTAATTTAATTTTAATTAAAAAGTAGAATCTTTCCCTCAATCTCCCCCTCCTAAATTTCATTCATTTAACTCTTGTTCTCACTTGAATCCTGAGGAAACAATGGGATATAGATTTTTTTTTTTTTTTTGCTTGGGACTATTTCGATCTCGATTTTTTCTTTTATCTAATTCAATTTTAAAAATTAAATAATTATTTTTCCTTTTACTTTCACATCTAATTTAATAAGTCATTTTAATTTAATTAGATTAAATTTAAATTTAAATTCCATTCATACATCACAACCTCTATTTTCGCACCGCTAGGGATGCTTAACGCCACTTCGCCAGCTACTGTTACTTGCGCTTTCATGTCTCTTAGTATGGTCAGTACTGGGTGTTTCCGAGCAGCAAGATTCGCATTAGCTAATATTATTAAGATTGTGGGAGATTGAGAGTTGTTTCATTTAAAAAAAATCTCAATCTCTCCTCCAATTTTAATTATTTAACTTTTTTAAAATGATAGACTACGTGTGAAAGTAAAATAAAAGAAAGAGAAAAAAACTCCATCAATCTCGCTCAACTCTAACTCTTACTTTTGCTAAAAAGCAAAATAAAAACTATGGTTCTCCCTCTTGCTAACTTTGGTTCTCGCTCTCAATCAACCATGGATTCTCGCTCTCGATCAACCCTTAATTCTCACTCTCGCTCATAGTCACGATCTCACTCTTGGTCAGTCTCGCTCGCTGTCGCTCACTCTTGATGACTGGTGGAGATAGAGGAAGAGGGGGAGGGAGAAAGAGAGGTGCAGGATTTTGGAGAGAGGGAGAGTGTGTGAGAAGGAGAGTGAAAGAGGCATTGAATTTTAGAGATGGAGGGAAGGGTATGAAGAAGAGAGAGGTAAATGTTAGAAATTAGACAAATAAAATCTCAATTTATTTGAGATTCTTTGTTTTAGAATAGGAGTTAGCTAGTTAGAAGTTTGTTAGTAGTAAACTCGTAATTTCTATTTTGGTGTGTATGGCTATTTATTAGCCTGTCTGCTTTCTCCATTCAACAACACTCAAAATTCCTTCCATAATATTTCTCTTTCTTTAAAATACTTCACTCTGATCATTTGGTATCAGAGTCTCGCCAGAGGCTTAGTAGAAGCAGCAGTCTTCTAAGGATTTAGGCAAATGACAATGGCTATAGAGGCTGCTTTTGTTCAACAAGCGGTGCGAAGGTTCGATGGTTACTACAATCATTGAGCGATGCTTACGAAAAATTTTCTTCGATCGAAGGAGTACTAGGGTGTGGTGGAAAATAGAAGTTATGGTGCAGTTGAATGTGTCACTTCAAACGAGGCACAAAAGAAAATTTGTGAAGAGCAGAAGTTAAAGGATCTTAAAGCTAAAAACTATCATTTTCATGCTTTAGATCGTACTATGTTGGAAACAGTTATCAACAAAGATACGTCAAAAGAGTATTTGGGACTTGATGAAGCAGAAGTATGAAAGAATAACACAAGTAAAGCGTGCTCATCTGCAGGCTTTGTGGAAGGAGTTTGAAATTGCTCATATGAAGGAAGGAGAATCTGGGAACGAGTACCTTGCCCGTGTTCTTGTCATCACCAACAATATGAAAGGCAATGGTGAAGATTATGAAGGATGTTGCTGTTGTGTAAAAGATCTTAAGGTCAATGACACCATAGTTTAATTATGTTGTGTGTTCCATTGAATAATCGTAGGATACGAGTGTGTTTTTTATTGATGAACTGCAAAGTAGTTTGCTCGTGCACGAACAACGCATGAGTAATACAATCCATGAAGAACATGCTCTGAAGGTGACTCATGGAAGCCAATATTCTGGAAGAGGAAGAGGCGTGGAAATTTTGGAGGTAGAGGACGTGGAAGAAATAGGCAAAGTATGGATGAAGCTACTGTAGAATCTTATGCTTGTCATATTGGACATTTTTAGTGGGAATGTAAGAAGGGATGACAAATTTTGCAGAGAGTCAAGCGAAAAGTGATGAACACGTGTTGCTAATGACTTATGTCGAAGAAAATGAGCATAAAAAACATATATGTGGTTTCTTGACTCTATGTGGAAAAAGAAAATATTTTTCGGAGCTTGATGTAGACTTCTCTGATTCGGTGAAGCTATGAAATAATTCAAACATGATGGTTCAAGGGAAAGACAACATCAGGCTGGATATTAATGGTGTTATTAGCATCATCTCAGAAGTTTTTTATGTTCCAGAATTAAAGAACAGTTTGTTGAGTCTGGGAAAGTTGCAAGAGAAGGGGCTGAGCATTTTGTTTCGGTAAGGGCAATGCAAAATATACCAACCTGACAAAGGTTTGATTATGAAATCTAATATGTCTAATAGGATGTTTATTTTGCATGTCATCTCTTTGCCTGCAGCAACCACTTGTTTTAACACAGTTGCAGAAGATGTAGCGCAACTATGGCATTGCAGGTTTGTGTATTTAAACTTTAAAGGCTTACAAATCTTGCAACAAAAAGAGATTGTGGAAGGCCTACTGCTGCTTAAGCCGCCCTCAAAACTATACAAAGATTGTCTTGTGGGGAAACAACATCGAGACTCATTTCCAATGAGAAGTTATTGAAGAGCATCAAAAATTTTGCAGCTTGTTCATGCTGACATTTGCGGACAAGACATTTAATTACTTTTATTGATGATTTCAGCCAAAAAAATGGGTTTATTTTTTGGCAGAAAAATCAAAAGCTTTCACTGTTTTCAAAAGCTTCAAGATACATGTTGAAAAAGCAATGAATAAGTCTCTAAAAGGACTACGTATGGATCGTGGTGGAGAGTTTACATCTCAATAATTCAAAAAGTTTTACAAGAAGCATGGAGTGCAAAGATAATCAATAGCTACATATTCACCGCAACAAAATGGTGTAGTAGAACGGAAGAATCGAATCATCATGAATTTGGTTCGTAGCATGTTCTCTGAAAAGAAAGTACCCTAAACTTTTTGGCCAGAAGAAGTAAATAGGGCTATGCATGTTTTGAACCGTACTCCAACACATCTGTGAAGGATAAAACATCGAAAGAAACTTGGAGCGGATACAAACTATTGGTCCAACACTTCAGAATTTTTGGTTGTATTTCCTATGCTCACATACCTGATAACTCAAGATCTAAACTAGATGAGAAAATCTTGAAGTGTGTTCTACTCGGAATCAATGAAGAATCAAAGGCATATAGACTTTACGATCCTATCTCACAAAGGATCGTAATAAGCAGAGATGTGGTCGAAGAAAGTGAAGAATGGGAATGGGGCAAGCAACAATGAGTCAAGGACTATGTGTGAGTTGGAATGGGAAGATGATGAAAAGGTTGTCATTGAAAAATCTCAGACAGAAGATATTGTTGATGCACAACCTGAGGAGTCTTATGTTGATGCACAACCTGAGGGTCTCTTGCCACTAATCAAGAGACTACTCCAAGTCACGTGGAAGGGAGGAGTAGGAAGCAATCAGCCTGACTAAGAGATTAAGTATCTGGTGAAGGTTTGTTGGATGAAGAAGCTTTGTGTTACTCAACATTCTTTGCCCTGTATACTCCTGGTGCTGATCCACTTAACTTTGAAGAAGTTGTGAAGAATGCAAGATAGGGAAACACCATGGATGATGAGATTGAGGCGATTGAGAAAAATGTCACATGGAAATTAATTGATCGAAAAAAGGAGCTAAAATAGTTGGAATAAAGTGGGTCTAAAAGACTAAACTTAATAAAAATAGAGAAATTGACAAGTTTAAAGCAAGGCTAGTAGTGAAAGGATATGCTCTATTGGTGTTGATTACATAGAAGTATTTGCTCTAGTAGCTCATATGGAGACTATGCAATTGGTGATTGCCTTTGCAGCACAAAAAGGGTGGGCTATATATTGATTAGACGTGTAGTCTGCCCTTTTACATGGAGCACTGGTTGAGGATGTCTTTGTTGAGTAACCTCGTGGTTACATTCGAAAAGGAGAAGAGGAAAAGGTGTACAAGTTAAAAAAAAGCTCTTTATGGGTTTAAATAAGCTCACGTGCTTGGTACAACTATATTGAAGCATATTTCATCAAGGAAGGTTTTAAAAAATATGATTATGAGCATATCCTTTTTGTTAAACAAAAAAAAGAAGGCAGCATGCTCATTGTAAGTTTATATGTTGATAACCTTCTATCTACAGGAAATGACGAGTTAATGTTTGCTGACTTTAAGAACTCGATGATGCTTGAGTTTGACATGATCGATCTCGGTAAAATGAAGTACTTTTTGGGTTTTGAAGTCTTGTAGAAATCTGGTGGAATCTTTCATTGTTAAAGAAGGTATGTTGATGAGGTGTTGTAGCATTTTAGGATAGATCAAAGCAACTCAATTCAAACTACATGTATTTCTGGATTCAAGATTTGAAAAAATGAAAAGGTACAAAGGTGGATAAAACAAATTTCATGCAAATAGTAGATTGTCTTATATATCTCACCTCAACTCGTCTAGATATGGTGTTTGTTGTCAGTCTTTTAAGCAGGTATACGGAGAATGCTACTCAACTTCATTTACAATTAGCAAAATGGATGCTCAGGTATTTACATGGAACAATAGAGTTTGGAATTTTCTACAAGAAGGAAGCAATAAACTTGTAGCATATATTGACAGTGATTATGCCAGTGACCTAGATGATAGAAAAATACAACTGGAAATGTCTTCCTTTTTTGGTTCTAGAGCTATATCATGGTGTTTAAGAAACAATCAATTGTAAGTTTGTCAACCACGGAGGTAGAATTCATTGTTGCGGCATCATGTTCCTTTCAGGCTATTTGGTTAAAAAGGTTGCTCATGACACTTGATCAAAGAGAGCAAGAGTCAATCCAATGTGACAGTAGTTCTGCAATCAAGTTATCGAGAAATCTAGTTATGCATCGGCGTAGCAAGCATATAAATGTTCGTTTTCACTTTCTTTGAGAGCTCGTACAGACAAGAGTGATAAAAACTGATTCATTGTAACACCACATAACAGATTGCTGATATAATGACAAAACCTCTCAAGCTTGATGTTTTCTTGAAGCTGCGAGCACTAAGTTATTTGTGTTAAAGAATTTAGTTGAAGGGAGGAATGGTTAGAAATTAGTCTAATAAAATCCAAATTTATCTGAGATTCTTTGCTTTAGAATAGGACTTAATTAGTTAGAAGTCTAGCACGTAACTTCTTGCTTATAGCCTTGTTTACTTTCCATTCAACAACACTCAGAATTCCTTTCATAATCTTTCTCTTTCTTTAAAATACTATTTTAGTCACATGAATAAAGAGGTAAAGAGAGAAGAAAATTCCTATTTTTAAAGAGAGAAAGGGTGTGTGAGAAAGAGAGAGGGAAATTTACATAACTTCTCACCCTTGCGCTCTCTCTCTTTCTCTACGAATTGCTTTCTTTTATGGACACTAGAAGAAATACCTGATACAAATTATTGGGTATGAAGTGTCCTACAAAAATCGTAATTCAAAGAAATTAGATAAAAATGAAAATAAATATCAAAATAATTATTTTAATATAAGGATCAAAATAGATGTTTTTAAGGGAGAGATTAAAATGAACTAAAATATTAAAAATAAATATTTTGAAATATAAGGACGAAAATATATCATAGTAAAAAAATATTTGAGGAAAATAATATTTAAACTTTAATACATAGTATTAAATATTCGTTGACGTCAAAGTGAGCAGCTTAATAATTGGTATATATCTCCAATCAAGAAGTTGTGGGTTCGATACATATTGTACTAACAAAAATCGACAAAATATAAAAAAAGATTGGAATAAAATTACACTAATATAGACCTTTGACATTATCATTGATTTACTATAAATTTCTTTATCAAGAGAGGGGAAAAAAATTGATTATGCATGTTCCTGTGTTTGATATCCATCTTCTCAAAATTACAACAATATGAGCAGCTCCGTTTTCTTCTCCGCGCCTCAATCCTTCTCCCACCTGTTTCAAATTTTCTTCTCCAATGGCGTCTCTCTCCTTGTCGTTTCACAGAGAGAGAGAGGGGGGGAGAGTTTCGCGGGATTTGGGTTCAGATTGGATAGAAATCTGCATTGACTGAATTTAAAATTATTGTAGAAAATAGAATCATGATTCCGATTTCGAATTCTTGTTATTTTTCCTTTTCAAATTTCAACTCGAATCGCGGTGTTATGTTTCATATCTTGATTCGTATTCGTTTTACTGCTTCTTTCTTCGGTGCGAGGTTGTTGTTGTTGTTATGATTTCTTTTATGACGAGCTTTAATTTTGATTTCAACAATGCCTCTTCACGTTGCTCGAGAAGCTTCCAAGGTTCCCCCCTTTCATATAGGCTTTCTCGTTCTTCGCTTTCGATTTAATTTTTTCTTTAGATGGTTGATTCATGAAAATTTGTGAAGCTATGGAGAAAAATATGCGCCGAAACGTCCATAGAAGCTTCGCTTCTTGCCGAAAGCTGGAAATATATCCTTGCCGGCATTTTCTTTCAGGTTTGATCTCTCACGTTCTTTTATAAATGCTTTGATTTCTGATTTATTTTTGTCGAATCCCTTCGTTTTGATTATTTTTTCTATTGTAACCGTTGCGAAAGATTAAAGAGCGTTTCTCATCTTCTCAAGATCACTGCAAAATGATTTACTGTTCTGCATTTTTTTTTTCAATCTATATTAGCTCTAGTCGTGCCAGAAATCCGATCGGATAATTTACTTATTTATATATTTTTGCCTAAATTATAGTTTCGGAATTGGCTTTTGTAATAACTATTCCATTGGCATTTTCATATTCAACTTTTGAACTAATAGTTTGGAGCTGTAATGGAAGTGATGATGTGAGGCATTATCTTCTTATGTATGACAAAGAATTGTCTCTTTCAACACTTACAAATGATTATTTTGAATAATTGAACACTAAATTATTATGTAAATGGGGTTTTTGGATGGCAAGTTTGTTAAACCTGAATAAACGATGGCACTGAACTTCTGCTAAGCTATAAGCTGTAGTTGGTTGAAATGATGGTCTTTGATTTGAAAAGTATGACATAATGTATACAGTCCTTTCTTGTACGAATTTCTTATTTGATTGATTCTGTTTTGCAGTATATCCATGGTTTGGCTGCTCATGGAGTTCATTACTTGCACCGGCCCGGGCCAACACTCCAGGACACTGGATACTTTCTTCTTCAAGTGGGTACTACTTTTAGTATGAAACCCTTTAATTCCAATTTAAAATAATAGGATTGCTATTATGATAGGTTGAGAATATTATTAGCATACTAAGAGTATATTAGTAATTGGATTAGGGAGTTTGGGTTATGAACAAAGTGAGGGGAAAAGAGAGGGAAAAGGATGAAGGTGGGCAACTGGTAGCATGGTATACTTGGTAGTTATTGTAGTTCTTATATTTTGTTATATTTCAATATATTTCTAGTTCGGGTTCTATCACAAAACTTAGATTAAGTTTTCTTTCTTTGGATTCTTACTTAGGAACTCGGTGAAGACAAAGCTTATATTAGTGAGACTGTCTTCTTCTTTATCTTTTTTTCTTTTGTGTTGGTAAGTCCTCTTGCTTTAATCTTTACTGGATATTATGCTTGTTATTATGTTACTGATTTCATGTTCTGAAGAGGATTCTTTGTCTAAATATACTGTTATGTTACAGTGGACACTGCACCCTTTCGTTTTCCAGAGCAAAAAGATCTATACAGTTCTGATATGGTGCAGGGTTCTTGCCTATTTAGTTGTACGTATAAATATCACCATCTCCCTCGCTCACTAATTTTCCTTCAAGTTTCTACTCTTTCATGGATTCTTAATGAATATAAGCTATGGTTTATTACATCTTTATTGGAATGAACATTTCCTGAAGAACAAAATGGTGCTTAGAATCATTTCTCTCGCTCAACACTTCTGGCTTCGATCATTTCATCCAAGAGGCTGTTGGTTAATTAAGATATCAAGTTGACTGGTTAGAAACTTAGGATATTTAAACGATGATGTAGTTAACCACAATAGGTTGACCTAGTAGTTACATAGTGTCAATGGAAAAAGAAAATGGTCTAGAAGAAATGGGTTCAAACCATGGTAGCCATCTACCTTGAAATTAATGTTCTACAAATTTCCTTGGTACTTAAATGTATTAGGATTAGCCGGTTAGGCAATTGTCCATGTCCCATGAGATTGAACACTCATGGAGATTAAAAAATTGATGGTGTAGCTAACTTTTTGTTCATTGAATTTTCTTTATAATACATTAGTCTTTGCTTCTATGTCTACACGTTTTTTTTTCCCTCACAGAACAGTTGTCTTTAGATTTACTGTCTTGTCTATTTCCAAATTCAGTTTTCACTTTTGTTACGAATGATGAACAGTGGAAACAAAGTTATTCATCTTCTTTTCTGCTTATATCTGTTAAGTAACAGGGTTTACTCTGTTTTAAATGCCTTTGACCTTTACAAGGCTTGTCAGTTCCTGAGGATAATCACATTCTATTCAACCCAGCTTCCTGGTCCCAACTACCATTGTCGTGAGGTAAATGAAGTGACGTATAATATCAATGCATACTTTTCAGCCTTCTGATACTGATGCCCGTAGCAATCAATGTTAATACACTTGTTGATCTTAAAATATTCTAAAATTAAATAATCACGCCGTTTCAGGGCTCAAAACTTGCCAAGCTGCCTCCTCCAGATAGCGTAGTTGAAGTTCTGCTAATCAACTGTCTGTCACATGTGACTTGGGCCTTCCATTTTGCCTCAGTTATATGCCTCCATAAGATGGTCTTTTAAATCGTGCTTATCATTTTTAAATTAATGTGCAGTTCCAAGAGGGCTCAATTACGGCTGTGGAGATTTGATATTTTCATCCCACATGATATTTTCTTTAGTGTTTACTCGCACATATCATAAATATGGAATGGCAAGGTATTCACAATTATCACGATTCGTGCTCTTTCATATGCTGTTTTCGTCTCTGATATGTCTTAATGGATGAACTAAGTCTCTTCCTGGCTATGTATTTGATTCATAATATACCCAGTTGAACATAATCGGAACTCATCCTTGCAGATTTGTCAAAATACTTGCTTGGCTTCTTTGTGTAATTCAGAGCATCCTCATCTTAGCGTCTCGCAAGCATTATACAGTAGATGTCATTGTTGCTTGGTAACTCGAAGATTCCATCTTAATTGGAATTGTCGAATATGGTTTAAGTTTACTTGTCAAAGTTATTTATCATTTTTGCCTTGCCTGCAGGTATACTGTAAATTTGGTTACATTTTTTGTCGACAGAAAGTTGCCAGGTTTGAACTGTAACAACTCTCTCTATTATACTCAAGTTGATCATTACCTCTTATATAGAAGTAGTAAAACTACTTCTTTTAACCCTTTCGTTTACAGAGTTGCCCGAGAGGCCTTCTGGCACCGTATCACCTTCGCTTCTTCCATTGAGCTCCAAGGATAGCAAGGACAAGGAAGAGCTTCACAGGCTTGTGAATGGAAATTCTGTGGGAATTACTCATTGAAGAAGATGAATGAAAAGTTGTGAATGTCTCTGGTAATGATTTTCTTTTTAGCCCTTTCTTTATATGGAAAGGTCGGGGCCGGGGCATGTCAGTTGAGAATTTCAGATAGGGATGATCTTAGTGACTTAGACAGGAAGAGACTAACAGCATAGAGAGGGTAARCAAAGGCATGGGCTGAAGATAGCTGTGATGCCGTTTGGAAAGTTGGAAATGGAATCTTGAACTGATGGCCATCCTGTAATTATAGGCTGTGTTGTTTTGCTAGGATCTGAATACAGTGCAGTTTTTTCTTTCAGAAAGAAAAAATTCATTCTGTTCCAATTGATTTTTTTTTCCTTTCCTAGTTAAATTTTGTAAAGTAGTCAACTAGTCAGATGGAGATCCAGTCAGATTTTTACTCTAAATTTGGTTCAAATGATAACCAACATCATAAGAAGTCAAGAAAATGATCAATTAAGGGTAGATTCAAGTAGATTTTGTTCACTTAGTGCTAAAATATGACTGTTAATTATTAGTTCTTGATCAATTATACTACAATGTGGAAAAAATATATAGTTGTTATTTATTTATTCTTTTTTTTAGTTCAAGAGAGATCCGATCCTCTGACCTTTTGGTTTATAATCAATATTTTAACCAATTAAACTATTTATTATGTTTGTATCATGAGTAGGATAAACCTTCAATTTTGTCTCTTGGGCCTTTGGTTTAAAGCTATAAGTCTATGTTTGGATTGGTGATTAAAGCTATAAGTCTATGTTTGGATTGGTGATTTGTGATCATATAATCTATGTTTAGTTTATGGAGTTACTATTTATTAGTGTATAGCCTAAAAAGGTGAGTTTGAACAGCTTGGATTTATTTAATTTGTCGGTTTACCTAACATATCTTTGTTAGGAATTTATATCAGGGCATCAGATGTCGACATTTCCATCAATACTTTTATGTCTATGAGCTTGAATTGTCATTTTCATAGAATTGTAAAAAAATCAATCAAATATAAAAAATATTACCATAACATCATTGTATTATTATATTTATATTAATAAATTTTAATTTATTTTGGAAATGTAACATTGTTAGTTTAAGTATTTTTTATGAATTATTTTTTTTCGGAATTTTTTCAGATATACCTATTGACATTGACATTTTACTGATATTATTTATGAAATTGAGACCGACATCGGGAAATGTGAAGAATTTTTTAATTTGAACTTTAAAATATAGCTTTTTTTCTAATAGTAATTTAGAACTAAAATGATGTCCGATTTTTATTTATGTTAAATAGATTCCAAGCTGGCAATTCTTATAATTTTGTAGTTAAGTCTCCTATTTCTAATTTCCTGTCAAGAAAAAAAGAAGAGTCTCCTATTTCTAATTTGCTAGCTAATTTTTGTTTTTGTATATTTTGAATATCAAACGTAGGCTCACCTTCCTAATTTTAAATTATATAGATTCAATTTATGAGTTAAACTTTCTATTTAACATAATTCACGTCATTATCATAAGGGAAGATAACCAAACAGGAAATTCATTTTTTTAACCCTACAATCCCATTTCATTACTATTTTATTTTCTATTTTTTATTTTTTAAAATAAAATTTGTAAATACTACTTTAATTTTGCAGGGAAGCATTTCAAAATCTAAACTAAAGAAAAATAGTCTTCAAAATTTTGTTTTTGTTTCTGAAATTTAGATAAGAATTTAAATGGGTTTTAAAGAAAGGTAAAACTATCCGTTTGAATAAACGAGCATAATTTTCAAAAATAAAAAACAAAAAGGAAATAGTTACAATCGAAGTCTAATTTCAAAGCTAGTGGATCTACCCAGAACAAGGACTTTAGTGGTGAATAAAGAAATAAAAATGACCAACAACCTTTATTCACGAGGGACTTTTATTATTATTATTATTTTTTTTTAGTTCTTCATAATTCAAACCTAAATCTGATTAGCAACTATCATTCTCCTTGACATGGATCTCCATTTAGAACATGGTAGGGGTAGGAAAAGAAACTTCCGACAACTAACCCGAGATTTAACCAAAACTAAAGTAAAAATTAAAATTTATGCCCTCAAAAACTAATCTGAGATTAAACTTTAAAAAATACTAACTCATGCTAAGATTTTGTTCTACCATATTAGGGAGGAGTACAAAATTCATAGAATGAAATTAATGCCCATAGGAAAAGTTGGTGAATAATAAAATTGGGGTTGGTCAAAATCGTTGCTTACCATGTTCCATCAATAGCACCTAACCTATACCGATTTTGGCGGACCGTGCTCCACCCCGATGAACTTATGCGGTTCTGACGTATCCAGAGGCCAGAGGAGAATCCGTTCACGGTCCGTAGGACCAACACCATTCGAAGGTGGGTGGCCCGCCCCGCCTAGAACAGTCATCTTTGACTAGGCTT